ATTTTCAATCAGGTTACAACCTGTTTTATTAAAAAAAACAAAGCATTACAGCAACATCAGGTGTTCACTTGTAGCTCAATATTTGAGGGGGATGGTCAAGGTACTCAATAAATGCAGGCAGTCCTCAACTTACCCAAACTTTCCATTGCTAAGTGAGACAGTTGTTAAGTGAGTTTTGCCCCATTTGACGACGTTCCTTGCCACAGTTGTTAAATGAATCCCTGCAGTTGTTAAATTAGTAACACCGTTGTTAAGTGAATCTGGCTTCCCCATTGACTTTGCTTGTCAGAAGGTCGCAAAAGAAGACCATATGACCCTGGAGGGGGGGGAACGCTGCAACCGTCGTATATACGAGTCAGTTGCCAAGCGTCTGAATTTTGATCACGTGACCATGGGGAGGCTGCAGTGGTGGTAAATGTGAAAAACGGTCCTAAATCATTTTTTTTCAGTGACGTTGTAACTTTGAACACGCAGTAAATGAACTGTTGTAAGTCGAGAGCTACTTGTATAACATTAGCCAGACTGAGGCAAATCAGAACAGGACCTCACCAAGATTTTCTGACCTCTACACCAGGGTAACGACAATGAAAATCCAGAAAACCAGATTTTTTTTCCCTATATATGTCCAGTATACACAAGGTAAGAGATTACACAGGCTAATAGAAATGCATAGTTTTGTACTATGTACAATTGTATTGTACAAAAAGTAGGCTATAGCACTCCAATTAATGCAACTTTAAATATATATTCAACTACATTCACAAGATAGGTTTACTCACAATTATGTGAGCTACACTGGATTCACATTTCAAAATTTGCAGAACACATTCACCGTAATCCAACAGGCCGATTAGAATGACATCCTAGCCTAAAATATATTACCGCAACTGGGTAGTCTTGTTTAAAAACATATAATTTCTTCAAGAAGAAAACAGATGAAAAATTTAAGGGGAATAAATTCATAATGTGATTTTTTGTTGTTAAACATTAAAGTAAAAAATGTAGTTCTCACTATATATATTGATGGCGGTGATTATTATTTTTATTTTCATGTTTTAATCTTGTTCTGTATATTGCCTAGATTCACTATGATCAAGGCAGCACAGAATTTGTTAAATAAATAAATACTAGGATAAATTCAGCAATTCAGTACTTCCTCTATGCTATTCAATATTGATATTAGCATTATTGTATTATTTGCCTGCCCTATATAAATTGAGAATTCTGTTCTTCTCTGCCATACGCCTTGTTTAATACATATTTAACTGCTTGCATTACACATAAAATACTTTCCTTCCATTTTTCTTGTAGGGACATAGATCACGACAACAAAGATGAAAGGAACATTTGATGCGTATCGAATGTAAGATTACATTAATTTTCTTAACTCTTAATTATGTTACAAGTAGGGCTACTGTCTTGACATTGTATTAAAAATAAGAGTGATCACTTCAGTGATTGCTCATTGTAAATTCTGGATGGTGAAAAGAAGAAAACTATCCTTGTCTTAAAGATAATAATCAAGTCTTATTTTAGATTGATATGTTGTGCAAACGTATAATCTAAAGCTGGTATATACTTCAGTACGCTGCACAAATTCAAAAGCTAAGTTAACCATGGCTAAAACTTCTACAGGAATAGTGGGAGAGAAATTAACATGATAGATTAAGTTAAAACTTAAGCCCATTTTTTCCAATGAAAATTAAGTTCAGCTAACTGGGGGATGGATGGCTTCTTCTGTACTACAGGTAATTCTCAACTTATGACCACAACTGAATCCCAAATTTCTGTCACTTAGCAAAACATTTAAGTCAATTTTGCCCCATTTTAGCACCTTTCTTGGCACAATTGTTAAGTGAATCAGTGCACTTGGTTAAGTTAGTTAACGTGGTTGTTAAATGAATCTGGCTTCCTCCATTGACTTTGCTGGTCAGGTCGCAAAAGGGCATCACGTGACCCCAGGATGGTGCAACCGTCGTAAGTATGAATCAGTTGTCAAGTGTCTGAATTTTGGACACATAACCATGGGGATGCTGTAACGGTCATAAGTGTGAAAAACCAATCCCAACTCAGTTTTTTCAGTGCTGTTGTAACTTTGGTCACTAAATGAACTGTTGTAAGTGGAGGACTGCCTGTATTATTTCATTTGCACACATAGATAGATAAGATAAGATATGATAAGATATTTTAGGTAGATAGAGATATGATAGATATAAGATAGATATTATAGGTAGATATATGATTGATAGATAAGCGAGATAGAGACATGATAGATAGTGATATGATAGATAGATAGATAGATAGATAGATAGATAGATAGATAGATAGATAGATAAGATATTATAGGTAGATAGAGATATGATAGATAGATGATAGATAGATAGATAGATAGATAGATAGATAGATAGATAGATAGATAGATAGATATTATAGGTAGATAGAGATATGATAGATATGATATGATAGATATTAGATAGATATTATAGGTAGATATGATTGATAGATAATATAGAGATAGACATGATAGCGATATGATAGATAGATAGATAGATAGATAGATAGATAGATAGATAGATAGATAGATAGATAGATAGATAGATAGATATATGATAGACGTGATATAGAGATATGACAGAGAGATATTATAGGTAGATATAATAGATAGGTGACAGATAGATAGATAGATAGATAGATAGATAGATAGATAGATAGATAAGATATTATAGGTAGATAGAGATATGATAGCGATATGATATGATAGATATAAGATAGATATTATAGGTAGATATATGATAGATAGGATAGAGATGATAGAGACATGATAGAGAGCGATATGATAGATAGACAGATAAATAAATAGATAGATAGATAGATAGATAGATAGATAGACAGACAGATAGATATAGAGATATGATAGATGTGATATAGAGATGATAGAGAGATATTATAGGTAGATAGATATAATAGATAGATGACAGATAGATAGGTAGCAATATGACAGATAGACAGACATTTTATTGCCTTTTTTTTTTTTTTACTGTAGGCACACTGGCACACATTAAAAATGAAATTTAGTTGCTTGCTCCTAAAGTGTACACATACATAACACACATTGAAACATGCTATATACAACCTATGTATAAACCTACATATTTACATATAAATAGCATATAAATATCAATCACAGTCCATCTTGAATACATAACAAATACCAGCCCCAGGCCCGTAGGCCTTTCTAAGTAAGGGTCGAGGAGGAGGAGGAGGAGGAGGAGGAGGCGGTTAGGGCCTCCCTCCCTCCATCACCCCGAGGTGATCACCCATCACTGCGAGGCCGAGGTAGGAAAACTGAGGCCCCTTTACGACTCGTGGACTTCACCTCCCAGCATCCCTCAGCCAGCCAGGCTGAGCCACAGCGGCTCAAGGGATCCTGGGAGTTGAAGTCCACAGGGGGCGAAGTTGCCATAGTTTCCTCACCGCTACTTGGGAGATGGCCGCGGCCACCTGGGCGGCCAAGCCGACCGCGCGAAGCGACGCGACGCTCCCCGAAAGGCCCCGCCAGGATCGAAAAAGGGGCTGAATTTGCCTCTTCCCGCGACGCCTCAGAAACCTACCGCCGCCGCCATTCCCGCCGCTAAAAGTGCGGGAAAAAGCCAAAGCTTCTCCCTCAGCGCGAGAGCTACGTCATAAAAGAGCGTTGATTGAACCGCTCCGCCGTCACTCAGACAGGCTTCCCAATAGGAGTGCGCGTTGATCTCGGGGGGGTGGGAGGACGGGTAGGGTATAAAAGCTCTCCGCCGGTGCGTTGCCTTGCCATAACCTGCTTTGTTGCTGAGGTTGTTGTTGTGTTATTTTGAAGAAAGGTGGTGCTTATTCTTCTCTCCAAGGGGGAAATAGCACCATTTTCTGCTTTTATATTGGGGAGAGGGCAGCCAGTTTCTGGTTTTACATTGGGGGAGAGGGCAATTGTGACAGAAACGGAGTATTTGCAGTGCCTGGAATTAAAAACATCAAAAGAGGCGAAATTGTTCTGCATTTGTCAACCTGCAAATGTGAATTTTATTCGGATCAGCGCAGGGGAAAAAAAAAAAAAAGATGCTGAGAATTGAGCGAAAGTCTCATCCCCCTAGGAATATCACCCAATAACGTTTTGAGGGTTGTGAATTAAAAAATAATCCATCTTGCTCAGAACAAGGAAATTGAACCAAATAATTTATGGATTAGGAAAGCGATGCAGGATAAACTGGGGTTTTCATGCAGGCATACCTACATAAAAACTTTTTGTGTATCAACAAATTTGTGGATCAATTAATGCATCAAAACAAGCATGTAAGGCAGAATGCAATCTCATTAATTGCCGACACACAAGGCAGCAGTCATATCCATATATTCTCCCGATGATACCTTTAGGTAGATCCCGTTGTGAACAAAATAAAGGTTTTAATTTCAATATTTCCTGTTGCAAAGGTGAAATAGGGAGTAATCCCCTGGAAAAGTAACCCTTGGATTTAAATTCTTTGCCCCATAGCAGAATATTTAGAAGTAAACCTGGTTAGAGTGT